ACCATCACATGAGTCATGGGCCAGTGGAGCGTGGAAGCGTGTTGGGGGGTGACACACACGTGTTGGGCACACATGCATGTTGGGAGCACACACACACGCACGCATGTTGGGGACACACACATGTTGGGGACACACACATGTTGGGGACACACACATGTTGGGGACACACGCACACACGTGTGTGGGCTGAGGCCGGGCAGCTCGTGACACTGGTGGGAGTACCGCAGCCTCCTGGAGGAACTGGCCCAGAACATCACGGCCGAGGACCTGGAGCAGCTCAAGTCCGCCTGCAAGGAGGACATCCCGAGCGGGGAGAGCGAGGCCATCGCCACCAGCCACCACTGGTTCAGCTTCCTGGAGAAGCACGGCAAGCTGGGGCCAGGTGGGACCCCCCGAGCCCGTCCTCAGCCTCACCCCCAGCCGCTGTCTGCACCCCGGTCCCCATCCTGGTCACATCTCCCTTTCCCGTCGTGCCTTAATCCCTATCCCGGGTCCCCATCCTCATCCCTGTCCCTGTTCCCTGGGGTCCATGCCCATTGTCCATCCCATCCCCTCCCCTGGTCACTCGCTATTGCCCTCATCCTGCTCTGTCCCCTCTCCCCACTCCCATCCTGGTCCCACCTCCTTTCCCGGTGCCCATCTTGGTCCCCTGATCCCTGTCCTGGTCCCCATCTCTTCATCCCCTTGGCCCTGGCGTCCAGTCCCATCCCGCTCTCGGTCCCCTCGCTCTTCCCTGTCCCAGTCCCTGTCCCCTGCTCCCATCCCGCCCGTGTCAGTGTCCCGGTGTCCCGGTCCCCGCAGACACGCTCTCCTACGTGGAGCACATCTTCGAGATCTCGCGCCGCCCCGACCTCCTCACCACGGTCGTGCGGTACCGGACCCACGTGCTCAAGATCTCGGAGGAGGACGAGGTGGACACGAAGCTCACGCGCATCCCCAGCGCCAAGAAGTACAAGGGTGAGGGGATGGGGACCCCCTTGTGGGGACAGGGACCATCCATGGGGACAGGGACCTCCATGGGGACAGGGACATCCATAGGGGACAGGGACATCCGTGGGGACAGGGACATCCGTGGGGACAGGGACCATCCATGGGGACAGGGACATCCATAGGGGACAGGGACATCCGTGGGGACAGGGACATCCGTGGGGACAGGGACCATCCATGGGACATCCCAGGGGGACAGGGACCATCCATGGGGACAGGAACCTCCATGGGGACAGGGACATCCATAGGGACAGGGACATCCATGGGAACAGGGACCATCCATGGGGACAGGGACATCCCAGGGGGACAGGGACCATCCATGGGGACAGGAACCTCCATGGGGACAGGGACATCCATAGGGACAGGGACC